GAGAGACAGAAGCTTAGAAGAGGATGCCTGGATTGACAGAGATGGTTGGAGGTCGGGAATCGGAAGACGTAGAACGTTATAAACCGATAATTATATATACAAATACAAATACAATATACATATATACATATATATATATATATACAAATATATATAACTTCAAAGTTGGTGTCAAATGATAGTTTATGAAAATCTAAGATAGGAATGTAAAATCGGTTTTCCTCTAAAATTAACCGTTCAGGTTTTACAACCTGTTAAAGATGCAAAAAAATCAATTTTCAACTGTCAATATTTCCGAAACAGTTGAAGATAGGTATATGACATTGTACATGATATATGTCAAAAATTTCCCGCAGAATCCATAAATGTCATAATATACTGGTTGATCCATTTGGAAAAACAAAGTTGATAGCAGTGGAGCTATTTTTGAGACACCTAGTATAATGAAAAATATATCAAAAAATTTCAAACAAAAAAACAAAATTGGCGTGTCTGAGCGATTTTTCAAAAATTCTACCGTTTTCAAAATAATGAATTTATCCGTTACTTTACGGACACACTGTATAAAGTAATTGTTCATTTAATTTAAAAAAACATATTTTTTCTACAAACGTATTAAAAATGAAATTTTTAACACCCCCCCGAAGCATTAAAAATGTTACTTTATCGCACTAGTGCCATAAAGTCTTTATAGCACTAGTGTTAAAAATGAAACATCAAAATTTGAGAGCGAACGTCAAAAAAAGTTTGTATTTTTAGTTATTTACATTGATATTAATGGTGAAATTTGAACAACTGAGGTAGCCCGATTGGCCGCCTCATCTATATTTTTCAAGGGATCGATGCAACCCCCCTTTTTCTTCTGTATTTTGTTCCATTTTAAGCAAAAAGCATTACTGACCACGACAGACTTTCAAGAAACTGACAAGACATTTCATCATCCTGTAAAACAAGGTGCTGGTTGTTTGGACTTGACAAATGTCAAATTCAATAATTTTATGTAGGAAAGGTGCTTCCAATTTATTATTCATTTCAAAATCCAATTTGTTACTGGTTATTGCTTTTTATTTCCGTTTGTAGAAAAAATATTGTATGATATTTGTGTTAAAAGTATTTTTAAGGCACTTATGTGAATTGCAGAATTCGCTTCGCTCATTCTGTAAACTTTCACATGCGTGCCTTAAAAATATACTTTTAACACTTATATCATAAATAACTATTACAAAACAGCAGCCATATAAAGTTCATCATATAGCTTTGAAAAAATTACTATTGTTCTGTTTCAACACATCAAAAACTGTCCCATGAACAATTGGAAAGTATTCTGTAAACAAATTGCGGATCCTATGCACAAATTTTAGGCTTTGCGCAGAATCGTGAGGGTACATTGTACGGTTTCCTCTAGAGTTTCCTGCTCTGTTGGAACCAAGCTAATAATCTATCAAACTATGTCTCCATCCCAGCCTGGCCTGCTTCTTCCAAGTGGGTGAATATTTCAGATGCTGCAAAGCATATTATGACGTAATATTCCTGGGAATATTACATGGAAACTTACTGAGAAAATTAATGTAAGTTACCGATTTAAAATTCTTGTTTTGATAATATTACCCCAAGGGTGAGGTAATATTAAGTACCATTATTTACATAATATTACCGAAAGTTCTTTTGGTAATATTCTCCCTTGCCATCACTACTTAGATTAGAGCTACACATATTTATTAATTTATTTTGTATAAAGAGCCAAGAGGACACATAATTAACAATTTTTTTGGCAGCTAGATGTAGGTACCTAATTTTACTACCAGAAATTTTAAATAGAATTAAATCTTTGAAAACCTCTTTACAATATTCTTTGTCTCGTTTGACTGACAATAAAGGCAAGCCAGTTTAGGATTTCACAAACACAAACATGAATACATATTTTTTTTAAAATTATCTAGGAGCAAATAGTCTTTGAATTTTGATATGCATAGGAAAATAATAAGTTCCTATACATGGTGATTTACACATTTCAGGTATTGACTTGTGCAGGTGGATTATATGCTATCTCTTCCAATCCACCTGCGAACTGGAAAACTTCCAATACAAGGACTATGCGAATCAGGGTGTATAGTATAGTAGTGATTCCTCTATGATATGAGCCTACGCGCCTTTTATTACCTCGTCCCATTTATGATTTTGAGTTTCTGAAATATTCATTTCTCAAAACAGGGAAGAAGTGTTGGGATCATTCTGATTGAGTGCAGCTCCCTTCTTTTGGGAACCACTAACTTTACATTGCAATGTAATCGTAATTTATATGTGCACCATAAAATAAGCATGAGATCAAGTATTTTTACCTCCCACTGGTCAAGTAACCGTTCCATATCTGCATCGGAGAAGTCTCGAATATCTTTTTTTGCCCATTCCGGCTTTTCTGTTGTTTTTTTTGTATGCACTACATAAATATTAACAGCTACAAATAAAATTGTGATAAAGACTAGTTTGTACATTATTTAAAAAACTAAAAACACAGAAATCCTGAGTGTAAATGGCTAGGGAGAAACTGGTTTGAAAAAGTTGAAAACTGAAAAAAAGAGGAAAACGAAAAAGCTGAAGAAAAAAGTTAGGTTATTGGTTATTGCTGCTGCACCGCCGCGGCGGTTTGATGCAATAAAATGGAAAGGGGTTCGGCTATTCAGCGCGGAGTTGGAGTGGAGTGAACAGAGGCAACAGAGCTAATGGAGTCACCCCTAATACGGTAAAAAGCAATACCCGAACCAGCCCGAACCTTAACCCGAACGGCTGCAGTGCGAATGGAGTCACTCGGAGTGAGCAAGCCGAACCCACCTGAAATTATTTGAAATGAACCGATCAAAGCTGATGGATGACGGTCCACTAGGCCTCTGCCCAAGATTCAAGAATCGATTGCTCATCCTTTTAAGCCAGGCGCAAACCAGAGCGGTGGCGGTGGCGGGCGCGGTGGCGGTAGCGGTGACGGTCACGAAGCGAACTAATGTCCGCAAACCAACGCGTTTTTTCCGCGACAAATATTAGTACTTTCAGTATAATATTCATTTTCGCTTCTGGATCAAGATTGGTTGCAGAGCTTGCTCTACTGGCATATTTTGATGAACTGCTCTCTGTTCTTTTTATTAATCTTTGTTTTACCAGATGCTACTTGACTGTCAGTTTTATCTTTAATTTTGACTGTAAAAGTACGCAATGAGTACCAGGGATGTACTTGCGTCTATATCTCAACGTGACTCCTTCAGTATGCGTGTGCGCCTACTTACCATAGAAGATTTTTAGGTTAGGTTTTTTTGTTTTGTTTTGATTTTGATCTTGTACGTTGTTACCTAAATTCCCTAATTTTGTTTCTACTGACTCTGGAATTTCTATCCACCCCGTTTAGGATAATTTTTTACTTAGCAAAAAATTAGCGCAAGAAACTCAATCTAGCCCTTAACTATTTATATCTGTAATAAATAAAACACAAAGGTACCTATGTATTTGGGTGAAAAATTTATTTTGACACAGAAAAAATCAAAATGCACATAAAATCTAAAAGAAAGTACTTATCTATAGTCTCCGCCACAGATAATCGAGGTTCCTTCAAAAAATGATTTCTCTGTTGGCGATGCCCGGATAAGCAAAAACTGTTGCAAAAACTCTACACATAAAGAATTGAGAATAAATTTAGTCCAAGAGCATCAATTTTTTGATTTTGTTTATCCGGGCATCGCCGACAAAGAAATCATTTTTTCTAGGAAATATTGTTTTTTTCCTTCCAGCCACCAACGAATCATGCATATTTTTGGTATGTCTGCTTAAATTGCCCTGATTTGAAAATGTTTTGGAACACCAAGTACAGACATATACATATCTACGAAATTTGGATACATCTTCACTTCTGGACTTACTTCTCATTAGACTTACTCAATCACTTTTACTTATCTATAAGCCCTTTTTAATGTTTTCACTGTTTCCCTCCATCACGATACGAATCAACAGATATGTAACTACAAAAATTACCCTAAACGGAGTGAATAGAAACTTTAGGGTCAGTAGAAACAATGTTACGTTACGAAACAAGTACAAGTTCAAAATCAAAACAAAACAGGAAAACCTAACCTTAAAATCTTCTGTGGAAAGTACGCGCACGCGCATACTGAAGGAGTCACGTTGAGAAATAGACGCAAGTCCAGGGATGTGCGTCTACACGTAGACTTTCATTGTCTACTTTACGTGTAAATAATGTAGACAATGTAGACAACGTGTAAACAATGTGAAATAATATAAATGACGTTTAATTCTAACCTCACACTTTCCTTTTTTTTAATTATTGTTATTTTATTATTGGTTTTTCTGATATTTTATAATCAGTGAATTCTAATTTCGCAGTAATAGTGACAGTATAGTAACTTTTGATATTTTTTTTCGAATTTTTTAAAATAAGTTATTGTTTACGCCGCATGTAGACAATCAGTCGTATGAATAAAGTGTAGCAAATGTTTTTACTCTACCTCCGCCTCTTTTTGCTGCATCATAGCTGAATATGTTTGTCTCAAAAAACTTAAGCAAAAGCGTTTGCTTCTGTTTTATTCATATGAGCTAATGTGTAGACAAATGCTCACGTAAACAATTCGAATTGTCTACGCGTAGACAATCAATTGTTTACGTTGACATTGTCTGCAGGCACATCACTGCGCGTTGATTTATTTACATGTGCAGTGCAGTATTCGTTCGCCATCGCCACAGCCACCGCTCTGGTTTGCGCGGCTTTAGACGTACGTTCGCCAATTCTCGAATCCGCAGCTGGTCTGCGAGTGACGCCACCACTATCAGCAGCTGATGCCGATGGTGGAAAAGTCACCCGCAGACCTCGATGCATCTACACCCCTAGGGAAGATCTACGCTACATGTTTCTTTTACCATTTGGTGCAATTTGGTGAACCTTTCTGTACTTATGAATTTTAATGATTATTATTACCGACAGTTTCAATAAATAAATAAATAGATAAATACAAAAATTATTTTATTTACAAAAAACAAAAACAAACGTAAATAACAAGAAATTTATGCCTCAACTGTAGCCCTATTACTATACTCCCAATCAGGATCCCTTGGAGCTGTGGGTTGAATATTTTTATAAAGATAGCCATTTTTGGCCATATTTGTACTTTCTGCTTGCATTTTTCTCTTGCGAACTTCTAAATAAGTTAAAGCAGCTAAGCCGATAATACTTAAAATAACAATTAAACTAATTAATAGTATTCTTGAAGCATATTCCTCTAGCAGAAATCTGGATATAACTCCTGTTGTTACTATACCTATTATTATCAAGGCTGTGATGATTACTACCCAGAGACTGGGTTTGTCTAAAATAAAAAATATTTTGTTGTCAACAAAATGACTAATATGCTATGATAAAGCTTACCTAAATATGTTTTAGTAGCGTTGCTCATGGTTAGTAAATTTATTAATCCTCCTATGGTTCATCACATATCACATTATTATTATTAACAAACGATCGGATCACTATCAAAACCCCGGCCCAAAAGAAGCTTGCTAATGTTTACACAGATAAATCGTATCTAATATGCGATAACAAAACGTACATGAATAGGTAGAAACACGCTTTGTGCTAATTTATGCTCATGACACAATCAGCAGTTATCAAAAAAATTAAATTTGTAAAGAGCAGCTCGTGAAAATCAAAGGTGCATGAGTCACTTATATGTTATCTTGACAAAAACATTGAATTAAATAACAAGCAACGCAAAACGTGCTGAAAAATGCATTCAAATAATTTAAATACATGCGGAGCGCATGTTTGTTTTAATTATACGCGATTACCACATTTACCTTGAAAACTACAAAATGTTGTTTTATCTTACCAACCTGTGAGCATATAAATGTATCTAATGGGAAAACTATCATTGGAAGGAATATAATTTATTACCTATATTATTGTTATAAATAATAGGTTTGTTTCTGCAGAAATCACAAACCAGTCAGAGTGAATTTCATTGGTTGAAACTAGTTTTCTGACTGTTTTCACCAATGAAATTTGCTCTGACTGGTTTGTGATTTCTGCAGAAACAGACCTAATATATATTATGTATAAAAAAAAATGTTATACTCAGTCTAGGTAGGTGTTAATTGTGTTATCTGACTAAAAAATCAAATAGGTATCAAATCAAAACTGTATAGGAAGAAAACCGCGTTTAGTGTAGTTACATTCTTATACAAGAGCTAGCAATTGGCAGGGTATCAGCATGCGAGTTTTCGCGCTAACCGGTTACAAAAGTGGTTATTATAGATCGAACTGTCAACACTCAACAAGGTGGTTGATAAACAAGAATCGCTAATTATTATGTAATAAGCAGTGACACCTCATTTCACTCGCACAGCGTTTAGTAGATAGTCAAAGGGGGTATGACTACAAAAATCCGACCATAACCTCAATCTTTCATTCTTGACACGTGGTGGATGCGCCGCCGTTGACACGAAGGTGGATGCGTCGTCGGCGCCATCTTGTCAAACCTCATGGCGCCATCTGTCGTGAGTGCGGTGAATTCTTGTAATTACAGGTTCCTGTAATATGGAGTGTGCGTGGAAGGGATTGTTCCGAGTCGTTTCGAAATCGCTACGTATATTTAATTATGGTTCAGGTAATTACAGGTTCCTGTAATATGGAGTGTGCGTGGAAGGGATTGTTCCGAGTCGTTTCGAAATCGCTACGTATATGTAATTATGGTTCAGGTAATTACAGGTTCCTGTAATATGGAGTGTGCGTGGAAGGGATTGTTCCGAGTCGTTTCGAAATCGCTACGTATAGTTAATTATGGTTCGGGGAATTACAGGTTCCTGTAATATGGAGTTTGCGTGGAAGGGATTGTTCCGAGTCGTTTCGAAATCGCTACGTATATTAAATTATGGTTCTGTGATGACGTCATAGCGACCTGGGTCACGTCCGTGGAGTCATTTAGAGTACATAGTGCAAAGTTTGATTCAGGGTTCAGGTTCTGTGATGACGTAATAGCGACCTGGGTCACGTTCGTGGCGCCATTTAGAGTACATAGTGCAAAGTTCGATTTAGGGTTCGGGTTCTGTGATGACGTCATAGCGACCTAGGTCACGTGGGTTACGTCAGTGCGGGTCCGTGACGCCATTTAGAGTACATAGTGCAAAGTTCGATTCATGGTTCGGGTTCTGTGATGACGTCATAGCGACCTGGGTCACGTCCGTGGCGCCATTTAGAGTACATGTGTCAAGTTTGATGTGCCTTATAACAGGATACTGTGGTGGTGACGTAACTATGAGGATCCAGCAAGGATGATACACACATACAGTATTGCTTATTGACCTCGTGTGCTACCATTTACGACGCCATAACTAAGTCATCAGCCGTTTAAACAACCTACGTCAAGGCGAGAAATAACATGCTGCTTACGTCACAACTGGTGATTTAACGTTGGGGACAGAGTGGATTTGTTCCACACAGGCCTTATGAGGATAGGCTATCCTGTAGTAGTAGTGTGTATTATCCTTGGTTGGAACCAACGTTTGATGGGAAAGAGGCCTCGTTTTTTTATTAAAAACATACATTTTTTAAGACAACGATTTCAAAAAGCGAATATTTTTCATCAATAAACTGCTTAATATGATCCAATCATTTTGGTGGTACGTCTTGGGAGCAACACTGCGTTATCGTCAAATTCGACGAGTATTTCAAATCCATAGCTAAAAATATGCCACAATTGTATCGATTACCTAAGTATATAAGATATTTACTTACTATGTTAAAATAATAATTTCTGTGCAATAGTTTTATGATCTACCTTAATTTGTATAGTTTATTGGTTCCAGTAAAGATTTGCAATTATTTTGAGGTCTCTATCGTAGAAAATATTGGGAACTTTCACTTTATACCAGGACTTATAATTTTCTCAGTGTTTTTGATCCTTTGTTATAAAAAGACAGGCCTTGTTGATTGATTTCAAATCCATATCTAAAATATTCCATAATTCTATCGATATCGATATTCACTTACTTGGTTAAAATGATAATTGTTGTGCAATAATTTTATTGTTGTTGACGAGTCTCAAACAAGACTGAAAGAGCTTAATTATTATAAAATCCGATTCAAACTTCGAATTAACAACATAACATACAAAAAACGCTGTCAAAATATTGGAAATTTCACTTTCTATGAGGCTTCAGGTCTTGTAATTTTCTCAGTGTTTTCAATCCTTTGCTATAAAAAACAGGTCTTGTTGTTGATTGATATTAGTATATAAGATATTTACTTACTTGGTTAAAATGAAATTAATTGTTGTACAATAATTTTATATTTTCCACTGGTGACGAGGTTGAGCAAACTGAAAGAAGCTTGTTATTATAAAATCCGATTTAAACTTCGAAGTATCACATACAAAAAACACCGCTAAATGCAAACGCTTAATCGGCAGTTTTTTTATCTGAATTATATCAGGACCATTCGCAGAAGCCGCCCGAGAAAAACAACAACACATTTTAAAAATAATTTTTTAGTTTAAGGTGTAATTACTAAGTTAGATAGGTATTAATATGTCCATTTTTATTTTAAAAGGTGACAAATTCAAACAATTTATCAAAATTTAAAAGAATAGATTTAAATTAGCATCGTTGACATTTTATGAGCCAATACCCTATGCAATACAAAATTTCAGTGGATACATTGTTACCTGTAAAAGATGAGGATTCAATTTTTATTCTTTGTACAAAAAACGCAGCATCCAGTACCAGTACTTTGAACCTGGATTTTCAAAGTTTAGTTTTTTGGGCGATAAGTGTCGGTTTCGAAAAACTGTAAGTACTATTTTTAAATATCTAAGTGATGTAGGATAAATCATGCCCTGAGACATATTTTAAATTAACACAAACCTCGATTATTGAATTATTTTTATTTTCCTTAACACATAAACATATTGTTTGTTTTTTAAAAATACAGACAACCCTGAGTACCTACCTATTTCTTAATTTAATTCCAATAGTTTTTTACGCAGCAACTTGAATTTACTTTTTCACTTACATTTGCACAAAACTCAAATTTCTTTTTCTAAAATTTAGGAAGGTTCTTTAACCAATTTAAAATGGTTTTATTTTTTCATTTACTTTAAAACAAACCTCCATAAACAGCGAATTTTTAATTTTGTGTACAAAATGGTTCACCAGGAAGGAGATAACCTGAAACATCATGAGGATTGCTAAACATCTTCCAAGATCTGTAACCAATGTGGTGGAATTTTTGAAGCAGAGGGGGCTATCCAACACCACCAAAACACCCAGCTCCAAGAGAGCCTCCAAACGAAAGGCTGGAGATCCCGCCGCCCCTATGATGAAGCAAGCTAGACTTTTGCTGGTAAGTTGACATTAAGCGAATTTTTTAAATATAATTCAATTATTTTCAGGACCTTCAATATCAGCCACATGCCGGTGGTGTGAGTATTGCGATTTGGAGGCACCGATAAATCAATGGGTTGGTCATCTTCGGTGTCTCTAGCACCGAGCCAACACCTGGTGAAGCAGGAGGAAGACGTTAGTCTTGTCAAAACATCTTTCAAGAACCGAATTGCAACATAGCGGCTTTCATCAAAGCAGGACCCTATTAGCGTGAAGCACGTTTTGAAATTAGCTGTGGCATACCTATCCAGTATTAGGACGGACGGAGGACTGAATGATTTTATGACACAATTACCAGGATAGCAGAAAATGCGTTTGCGAAAATATAATTTAGAGCAAACAGTTAAATAGCGCAAGGATATGAGAAAACTAACTTCGCACATTCTTGAGCAACAGACCCACCGAATTCAGCAAACATGCGTACACGTACACGAGAAGAAGGGGTTTTAGAACTGGTTTTTCCTTAAACAAATCATGGTAACTATGGAATAACATAATAGAGGACTAAAATATGACACAACCACTTTCAAGTTGAAACTGGAAGTAGCCTATAAGGGGCCTAAATAGCCTCAGTAAAGTGCTAGAAAGATACCGGTTGCCACTACCACCCCCTGCTCATAAATAAATTTGGTCATTTGGGTTTTCAGGCATCCTGAACAAAAAGTTCACAGAATTCCAGGAAAAAGAAAGCGGTGTGTATCATTTCAATTGCAGTGTTATATACTAAACAATGTCTCTTACAGGCTGGACGTTCCAACAACTTTAAGCTCTAAATATAAGTATCAATAGGATCATAACCCTCTAAAAGCCTATTCATATCTGCCAGTGCCAGGATAACCTGTAACGTCATGGGAGTTGCCGAACATCTGCAATCAATGTGGTGGAATTTTTAAATCATGTCATCCACAAATAACATGGGTTGAGGAAAACAGTATGCGGAAATTTGGGATCTGTTTCTATTTAAATACTCAATATCTATTGAAAAAAAAAAATATATATATTCAAGGGTGACGATAAAGACGTATTTCATTTTTATGATTATGAATATTGCTACAATTTAGATGGTCACAGTCCTATTAACCATATTGGCAATGATTGTTGAGAATAAAAATAAGCTTTAGTATAAACTATGTTTTATTCTCCTGAGAATGGCAGAGATGAAGCCACCATTGATCTCTGTAGACCACCAACCCAAACCCACAGTCAAATAGCGCCAGCACACACTTAACATATCCTACAACTTTTATTTATGTTCCAAAATTGTATCAAGATTATTTCCATTTCAATAATTTTTGAAAAGAAACTTCTTAAACGGCGCGGCGTTCTGCTATTTGGACGACAATGGAGAGCGATTTGAAAA